TGGAAGGAGGAGCATTTAAATACTTAGATGCACCTATATAAAGAGTGACAGGTGTTGAAATACCAACTCCATATGCTTTTAATTTAGAAGCTATGACATTCCCTAAAACTGAATAAATTGTTGATGCAGTATTAAATGTCTTAAAGGGTGCTCGTTGATTGATTATTAGATATAATAATACATACATATAAATTAATAAATATAGTTTTAAATTATTCATTAAAAGTTTTTAGGTATCTAAAAAATCAATTTATTTAATAATAATTGGATATATAATATATTGAAATAATACTAATATATATATTTATAATTTATTAAAAGACAAAAGATTATAAAATAATGTTTTTTTTATAAAGTTCTAATTATTTATTTTTAGATATTGTTTATAGAATTTTTTAATTTTTGATTGAATAAAATGTAGAATCATCATTTTTAAGAAAAATATTATTCTTACTTTTGAAATTAAAACTCATATTCTGTCAAACTTCTATATATAATAAATGTAAAAAATAGTTTTGATATTTACAATCGTAACATTAAGTTTAGCTATTGATGCTGTAGATGACTTTGATGTTGAATCTTATCTTGGTGATTGGTTTGAGGTTGCTAGTAGTCCTTGGGTTTATACAACATAAGAAAAAAATGGATTTTGTACTAGAGCTAGATATGGTACATTACCTAGTGGAGATATTAGTGTTTATAATATCTAAAGATATGGAGCTGGTGATGGACCAATAAGATTTATTGAAGGATATGCCAGAATACCAGATTTGAGATAAAAAGGCAAATTAAAGGTGTATTTAAATAAAGGAGAAGTAGTTGGAGGAGATTATTGGATAATTGAATTAGGACCACTTATTAATAAGCAATATTAATGGGCTATAGTAAGTGAACCTGAAATGTTATTAATGTGGGTTTTATCTAGAAATCCTTAATAATATAGAGAGGAATATGAAGATTATGTGAGAGATAGAGTAAGTGCATTAGGATTTAATGGTGTTTTGAATTAGTATGTTCCTAGATTTTTCGATAAATGTGTGCCATATGATGATTGAATTAACTGATATTTATAGATATATTGATTATTTATGTTTATCAATATCTTCTTGGAGCTGTAATAATCTCATAAAATTCTTCAAATGAGATTTATTCTGGACTCTCTGTTTTTCTGAGGATATGAATATGATGAATCATTTCATGCAATTCATCATCATTCAAAGTTTCTCCTAATTCTTTAGCAACACGTTTTAAATTTGTGAAATCAATGAATCTAAACTTATGATTATAATAATAACCCAGTATCTTCAGGATCATAAATTTAGAATAATTTCTATGCTCCTTCTCTTGTTTTATTATTTCCTAATCTGTTTGATATAATTTCGACAAAAGTATCAAAATTGATTGAACCTCCAAAGCTAGTATTGATAAATGATGAAGATTACTTTTCTAAATCTTGAACCATTTGATACACAAATTTATTTCTTGCATCAACACCTAAGTCTTCAAGTACTTTCTTTATTTCATGAGCATCTATTGTACCACTCTTATCATCATCAAACAAATCAAAAGTTTCCTTAAAATCTATTACCATATTATTACTCTTAAATCATTAATTTCTTCAGGAGTCAAATAATTTTCCTTAGGTTTTTAAGGTTTTGCTGCAGGTGCACCTTTTTATTATTTATTTTAAGCAGGTGCTTACTCGGCTTATTTATTTGCTCTAGACATATCTATTTAATAATTTTATTTATAAATATACATTCTCAACAATCAAGCCAATATATGATCCTAAAATTTCAGTATTATCATAATCATACTACTTTTTAGAAATTGGTTCTATTATCAATTTGAGTTTCATTTTCAAATTATGAGAGTAATAATGAAAAAATTCATTTATGATACAAAATAAATAATGGATATTAGAATTTTTAGATAAAATATATTAATATTGTAAAAAAAATGATAATGTATAATAAAATATATATCAATTTGATTTTAGAAAGATCTTTGGAAGATTAAGCCATTCTAAAATATATGAATTTTCAGATAAAAAAAAGTAAAATTATTGATAATCTAATGTTTTCTATTTTTCTTTTTCTTTCTATACATCATCAATTAAATCTTCATTAAATTGTTTAAATGTTGGCATTGATTTCATAAAAATAAAATCTAATTCTTAAAAAATAAGTTCTTCAACTTCTTCCTTAGTTAGTTGAATCTATGGAAAATTAGGTAATAAACAATTAAGTGTTTCTGTAATCTTTTCTTTTGATATTACCTTATTATAATAGATAATTTTACATTCTCATTTTTATTATCAATCAACTTAAACAGATATTTTATTTAAGCAGCTTTATTTTAACTTAGAAATGTTGCATATCCAAACAAAAACTCTCTGAAATTTAAAACTCTATCATTATTAAGATCAATTCTTGTAAAAATGAGATTCGTTGTTTCTTGTGATCTTTAAATAAGTGTTAATGAATGTACTTATTCTGAAATCCTCTATGGAATTCATTAAAATCAATAACTCCATCATCTTTGATGAGACTACTGAGATTTTAAAATATTTTATATAAACATTGCACATCTTCTAACTAGATATTAGCTTAATCAGCAAATTCCTATAATTCATAGGTTGTAAGTAAATATTATTTTGATTTTGTAATTCCCATTAATAATTATAATTATTTTACTAAATGGAAGCAGATCATTTTTATAAAGATCATTATCTTAGTTGAAAAATGATTTAGCAAGATTTCTTTATTTAAATTGCACTTTTATGAGAGATTTGAGACTAATTGTTATTAAACAATAAGATAAGAATTAAAAATATAGATAATATAATTAAATGGATAGACTGTTGAATTATAATTATGGGATATTGAAGTTTAAGAAAATATAATGCTGTAAGTAAATTAAATATTAGAAATGCATAGAGTATTTCAATTAAATGATCGTAGAATATTTAATAATTTTTAATATAAAATATTCTAATTCTTAATAGGAAACTTTGATATTGAAGAGTATCATTGAGGAAAATTGTGATTAAAATAATATTCCATTAATTAAAAATAAGTATGATTTAGTGAGTAATGAGGAATAATCTAATTATTATCAGAGTTTATTAGGTTTTGTAAACTCAAATAAATTTTTCTCTTTTATTCAAAGGAGTGTTAAAGAAGGTAACAGGATTAAATATAGAGAAATGTGTTAACTATTCACAGATTTAATTTAAAAAATCATTGATAAAGGATTATATGTTAATCAACAGAAGAATATTAAATAATGTACTATTAAATAATGTTCAAAGTTAATAGAATCTATAATATAAAAAAGATAAGTCTTGATGTTGAATGAATATTAATAAATATAATATATAAATTATATTTTACATTCTCTTTTTAAAAAGATTAAAAGGATTTTTAAATAATAAAAAAAATTTGTTTTATTAAAGATGGTATATATAGCATTCATTTTCTTTCTAGGTACTAGGAAAGTTTGTTGAAGTTGGAAGAGTTGTCAAAATCAATTATGGTCCTTAAGAAGGCAGATTGGCAACAATTGTTGAAATCCTTAATGATAAGAGAGTCTTAATCGATGGACCAACCACTGGAGTTTAGAGATAAGTCATTCCAATTAGAAGATTGACACTTACCAAATTCAATCTTAAAGGTGCAACAAGAGGAGCCAGAACTGGTGTCATTACCAAGGCAATTAAAAAATCTGATCCATTTGCACAATATGCTCAAACTGTTGCTGCCAAGAAGGTTGCTAAGAAAGCACTTAGAGCTAAATTAAACGATTTTGACAGATTCAGAGTCATGATTCTTAGAAAGAGAGTAATGCTATCAATAAATCATTATTTTAGAGAAGTGCCCTCCTAAGCACCTAACTCAAATCTTTGAAAAAGAACACTGGTGGAAAGGCTTAAGCTTAAGCTAAAGGAGGAAATAAGAAAAAATGATCAGCTTATTATAAAATAAGTATATTAATATATTTGAATTACAATAACCTGCATATATATATATTATCATCTAATATGGTTTATCTATTTTAATTCTTATCAAATATTATACAAAATATAATATTTATTTCATTAAATTAGAAAACCATATCATTTTTTATATTGAATCTAAGTAAATTTTCATTTTTGTTATAATTATTGTCACTTCTAATTAAAATATGTAATTGAGTTCATAAATTTATTTAAAGTCTTAATCTATATAATTTTTATTACAAATAATTCTATTTATGAATAATATTAATTAATTATAAATACTTTCTAAATCAATAGAAAAATGAACTTACAACTATATATCTAATATATATATTTCTCTTATTAAACAAATAAGTTTCCATATCTGAAATTGAATAATTTTTAATTAAATAATGCTTGAATAATGACTAATACTCCATGATTAAAAAGTATTTTAAAAACCACAATTCAACTATTATCCTCACAAATACATTTATAGATATCAATAATAATTTAGATGTCTGTAATATCTCCATAGTTTAATAACATTAAAATCACCTTTAAGAAATTTGATCTATAAAGATAGACTCTATATTCATCTAATAGTTATTATTTGTAATTATAATTACAAATTAACTCAATTTATATTTGACTGCCATTTTTCTATAGTTTTTCTATTTTAAACTTTAATTATTTTTAGGCCTATTTATATATCTAACAAAAATTGAAAATAAGTATAACTTCTTTTTTTGCTGTAAAAGAATATAAAATAATGGAGAACTATATTCTTTAGACCAATATATCTATTAAATATAGGAATAATATCGATATGTAAATCAACAGAAATTCCAATATAATCATAATGTATCTCGATTATATTTTGTCAATGGAAACCTTTAAATATATGCACACTTAGTACCGAATTAAGGATTAGAAATATGAAGATTAAGACATTGATAATATTATAATTCAGAATTTCTAATATTAGCTAATGAATACTATTAAAATATAATTAAAATTAATGGCAGAAGAATTTGATGATGATTAATTTGATGGATATGTTTCTACAAACATCAAAAATAGATATGACTATTTTAATGATATACAACCAGAATAAGAGTAAACTTAAATACAGAATGCTCCATTATTTACTGTTACTTAAATTCCATAATATACTTCACAAAACACTCCACAAATCTCAGATATATCTATTTTATATTAAAACCAACCATTAAATCAATAATCCCTTTTCAATTCAAATCCCCCTTTGTAACCCAATTTTACAAATTAAAACGATAATCATCATAGCCCCATTTTTCACATGCCTTAAGATAATAATCCTATCTAACTAGAATCCTTAAATTTAAATGGCCATTCAAATTTTGCATAATAATCATAATAATAATCTTAAGCTTATGAAGATGAAGAATTTTAAGAAGGGGAATTTATAGAAGAACAAAAACCTGTTCAAATATAATAAACATCATTATTGGTAGATCAACCCTAAGTCTTAAGCATAAATAAAAACGAATAACATTTAATTTCTACAAATATAGAACAATAAGATTAATTAATCAATTTTGAAATCTCTAAAAATGGAAATATGTTACCTCTTAAATAATAAAATTAAAATAATACAACTATTTAATAAGAAACTAAAATATAATTAACTTCAATTTATGATGCATTTCCGTCTGATCTAAATGAAACACCAACATAATTATAACCATCTCCTTTATTATAAATTTCAGAATTGAAATAAGAAGCATAAAATGATTCAAAATATAATAATAATGTAAATTTAATTGAAATGTATTAAAATTCTATTATTTAACCCATAAATGATTAATAAGAAAGTTAAAAGATTGAATCAAATACTCCTATATAAAAATAAGATTTATTAAATTTGATTGAATTTAATACAGATTCAAATCCAATTAAAAATTAATAAAATTATGAATAATAATCTGAAACTTTGTTTTAATTTTCAGATGAGAAATAATAATAATAATTACATATTTAATAAGATGTTTAATAAATATAAAATGATTTATTATCATTACATAATGATTTTACCTAAGGTACATTTTAATCTTAATAATAAAATTATCATAATTTAATAAGAAATGGTAACCTTGAAAATGAGGAATTATAAGAGGAATCTAAAACTCCAATCTAAGAGATTCAAAATATTTAATTTTAATCTAATCAAATACCTCTATAAAGTACATAATTAGATAGTAAAAATGATAATGAAGAATTTGATGAATTTGTAGAAGGTGAGGAAATAGAGAGTCCATTCGAAAATAATTTATAAAGTTAAAACATATAAATTGATTCTACTATCATAAATTAATAACATTAAGTAGTAGTATAAAATCCATAAATTTAAAATATTTAAGAATAATTTAGTTCATTAAGTTCATAATAATAAGAAAAATCATTTTAAGATAATAATTTATCTTAGCTTAATAATATTTAATTAACACCAGAAATAAAGATAAAATAAGGTCCATTAAAAGCAGAACCTATTTAAAAGAGAAATTGGAGAAATTAAATAGAGGATATAGTTGGATTTGATGCAGAATGTATGGATAGTTTTATTGAAGAATTAAGTGATTTAAAATTAAATTTGTATAAAGCTTAAGTTTTAGAATATGCTTAATTGGCTAAAGATATATAAGCTTTGAGAAAGAAAAAGTAGATTCATGTTGATAAAGAAGAGTATGAAGAAGCAACAGTTATTAGAGATACATTAAGAGCAAAAGAGCCTATAGCAATGGTTTTGAAAAAGAAAATATTGTCTATTGCTAAAGTCATTGATTTAATGGATTAATAAGATTTGGATTATCATATAAAGAAATATATTTTTGATCATGAAAATGAAATACCAGAAAATCCATCAATAGAAATGCTTTTACCAAAGATTTAGATAATAGAAGAGTTTGTAAGTAAATTAAAAAAAGAATTAAAAAAATCAGAGTCTGTTTTATCAATAATAAAATTATAAGGACAGTTAGAAAAAGTTAGATATGAAAAGAAATATCAAAATTTTATTTTGGGATTAAGAAAGATTATAGGAATGAGTCATAGATTTTCTTAATTAAATGAGATTGTTTAATCTGTAAATGATAGATTAAGTGATCTAAAAATAGATGTATAAATTTATTTTTAATTTTGAATAGAAAGAAGTGAATAAATTAGATTATGAATTCATTTTTGAAAATACATTGATACCATATTTGAAAGGATAGTAATAATAACAGAATTATTGTAATTATTGTTTCCAATCAAAATCAGATTTGATTGAATATAAAGGTAAGTTATACGATGTTTGTTGTTTGAATTTTTATTATAATATTAATTGAATATTAATATCAACTAATTAATTTATTTTTATCTTCATATATGTTGAAATCTTAAACAAAATTATTATTAATTAATCATTATTATAGTTATTCCAATAAATTTGATACATTTTATTTTTGTTTTGTAATAAAACATGTTTGAGTTGCACAGATAGTTTATAAATTAATGAATAAAGAAAAATGCTTGAATATAGCATTTACTATATCAGATATTTGAGTAAAAAAACACCTAATGATTGTATGAATCTCTTATTCCACATTAGTAATATAGATATTCTCTTAGTTACTTAATATATCACCTAATTTAAAATTATATGCAATTAGTAATAATAATTATTGTTTAAATAATTTAATTTTGATGGCTTCAATATTATTTTTAATGTATAACATGAATGTTTGGGTCTCTCTTCTAATATATTCTTATTGTTGAACAATCTTTGTTTAGAATTTTGATAATTCATTCAAAATATTCGCCTGTCCCTATAAATTATACTCTTTCAATCAACTTAATAATTTTCTTTGATAATTCTTTTCTTAACTCCTCTACCAAACATCTCATTAAGTTTATGAATCACATCATTTTATTTTATCATTTTATACAGTTTCTTTTCTGATTTCTAAGATAATTAAGTTGCTTTATTACAAACTTTGACATATCAAAAAAATGTTTTTTTTCTGTTATATAAATCTATATTAGAAAGTACTACTTTGATTGTAGATACTAAATAATAAATAGCACTATTAGATTACAAAGAGCAAAATGTTTAAATGACAATCCTCCACTTTTGAGATTATCATGTTAGAAATACTTATAAAAAGATAGTTATTGTCATAAAGATTAAATCCTTATTTTATTAGACATAGATAATAAGATGCAAATTAAATTATTTTTTGTTTTTACAATGTTATTAATGTAAAAAGCCATACACATTTAAGGGAATATTTTAGAAACATCAATTCTAATATAATTGATAACATAATACTTAATTTGATATAGACTATAAACTTTTTAGCTGTTTTTCTATTTTTCATCATCTCTCTAATTCTTTTAAGTATATTTGATTTATCTATATGGATTAAATAATTGTAGAATTTAAATTTATTTACTTGTCTCTTACAATTACTTCATAATACTATTAATATGTTTGTATAATTGCAATAGGATAATAAGGATGTATTATTAAATTAATAAATATAAGAATTTAATTGTATAATATTTGCATCATCATTTTGTCAAAATTATAAAATTTCAATTTAAGTGTGAAATGAAGTAGAATGGAGAAAGAACCATAGAAAGGACAAATTAGAAAAGTGTTAAAAATTCTATAGTATAGAAATTATTAGAGTATATAAAATTTAAAACGGATTTATAAGTGAATAATTAATAATAAAGGGGAAAATAGCAAAGATGAGACAGGTGTTTATCATACTGATTTTAGCATCTATATGTTTTGCCCAATCACAACTGAGAGGACGCCAATAATTTGGTATAGCTGCAATTGATATGAGTAGAGAAATAAGATGTTAGCTTAGATGAATATTCATTCATGCAATTTCACTATCACACACCTCCAATGGATTTAATGATGGTGAATCATGAACTCGAGATTTAAAGAATGATGGGAGTACCAGGAGTTGTGATGATGAATTATGTTATAGAGGAATCTCCATACAATCCCATATCATGGTGAAAATATTATTAAAATATATAAATCCATCATTGTCTTACTGCAATTTCATATTATTCCTATCATATTGGTAGAAATGAATTTGATTATGAAGACTTAAAACAAAAAGACATTATCTATTTAATTAGTGCAAGTATTTATTTTGTAATAAACTTCATTCCAGTGATTCCGGCTGGAAATGAAGATGCAAATAACCATCCTAAAGATATCATCTAAATTCTATAAGTATTAAAATACCTAAGCAATTGAAAACATTAACACTAGAATGTAATTCTTATGGATTAGACTAAAATAAACTGTTGCCATTAACATAATCACATAAATATTTGTATAGATGAATTTTTCTTTATTACAAAACATCTTCATAAAGTTAGTTCCTCCTTTGATTATAAATAATGAAATCCATAAACTTAATGATCTATATTATATTTAAATATACATCTTACCCTAAACTAAATAAGCCTCCAAATTTAGCTGGAAACACCATGATCAAAGGTAAAAATGTGAATGCTATAAACATGAAACACAATCCCAATCCAAAAAATATTGCAAAATTCTTCCAATTCATTGCTGCTTATTATACATCTTATACTTTTGTTACAACATTTTCTTTATTATATTATTTAATCATACATGGCTTTAGAAATCTAAAAGATTAAGAAAATTTAGACACAAATCCTGATTTCTCTTAAGGATCAGATGGTTATTCAATATCGTTGCTTTAATTCCAAAATTAAATATATTTCATTATTTTATTTTAAACTCTCTAAATTTCTATAATGTCAATCCATTCAAAGGTGATTTTATTAAGTAAATATTTTATTTATATCGAGAGTTATTCATTGATTATTCTCTTTTCGACATTGGACTTTCTTTTTGTCTCTTTTCAAATGCATCCAAATTTGGTGCTGAATTCCTAATTAAAGTAGAAGATGAACAAATTATCAGTTAAGTCTATTCGATAAGATTATTTAAATTGTTTATTTTCCTAATGTAATCTTTCATTTAAGGTTTTCTTATTAATGGTAATTGATTCATTGAGTTTTATGAAATAATCTTTCGAGACACTTATTTACATTAAATTTCTAAAACACTTGATTTTGGCTCAGGACTAAACTCCATTTTCTCTTCTTTTTCTTTTTCTGATTATAAAGTTCTTAAACTAAGGCATACTTTTGCAGATTTAGCCACTTAATTAAAAATTCCTCTTAATTTCTACCCATTTCTTATGAAAGTTTATTAATGTTCTTCTTCTTCTTCTTCATTAACTTTTGAAATAAGAATATCATGAAATTTTCTAATTTTTCTTCCAACCATTCCACATTCATTACAACCACAACTTAATCTCCTTATTTTATACTCTAACTCAGGAAATTTATAATTTTTTTATCTACTTCTCTAATGTTATCTATTCTTTTTAATAGGAGAACTTCTTCCATTAATAAATCCAAATTCCATTAATGTCCTTTATGTATTAAGTTATCTTGCAGTTGAAATAACTTATTGAGTATCGATGTTTTGTTCTGATTTTTGATAGCATGTATATTATAAAAGTTTCATAAATCCATCTAAACTTTTTGCTATATTAAATAGAATTCTATGATACATCGAAATACTTGAGAAGTTTTTATGTAATTCCTGATATTTTTTTGCTTATTACTTTGCTTAGGTACTTCAATTTTATGAGATTTGATTATATTTATAGACATTACAAAATAAATAAGATTAAGAAATTTTTATAGTCAAATATACTAGTTAATTCTAATTTGTTCTGATTCATTAAAGAATTAAGAAAACATTAATTTAATATTTGGAATGGTTTAGATATGCAAATATCAAATAAATGCTGATAATTTAATTTAATTTAAGTGTATCTTAAATAAATTTTAGAATAAATTTATATTAATTATATATATATATAATTTATTAGATAGCATTCATTTTTTTGAACTTTTATCTCCTTTCTCTTCTTTTTTTCTATCATGTTTTGTTCCTTTAATTTATTTATTTTATTTTGCTAATTATGCTTTAGTTTTTGATTTGTAAATTTATAAAACATCTTCATCTGCTAATACATGATTTAAACCAACTTTTTATGGATTAAATCTAAATAAATTAAAAATATTACTTGCAACTTCTTCCCCATACAATTGCAAACTTAAATTCATCAACTAATTCTCTATGAATTTATGCACAAACACTTCTAATCATCAAACCATTTCTATCATTACTAAGTACAATAGGATCTCCAAAATCTGGTTATTATCCTCTCTTTTTTGTATAGACTCTAACTAAATCTAATTTTTCCCACATGCATTCTAATAAGTAATCCAAATTTAATTTCAAATTACAAGATATCACACAATGATCTTTTCTTCTAGCAATTTCATCTACTTCTTCAATAGATATTTTATCAATTTTATTAAAAACATAAAGACATTTAACATATTTTCTATTTCCTTCAATTATATCAATTAAATCATCTACTGTAATATCTTCTCTAATCAATATATCAACATTATGGATTTTATATTCTTACATAATATTCTTAATTAACTTTTCATCTACTTTTGTCAATTTAATTGTTGATGTAATACGAACCCTAAAATAATAATAATCAATAAATACATTCCTGATTTATTTGGTGTAATTGTTACATCTGGTTTCTTTCTATTAAGTCTAATACCCATTTTATCTAATTCCAAAGTAAGTTTTCTTCTTTAATCCTCAGCTTTATCTGCTTCTAAAACCATTAAAACAAGATCACAAGCTTTAGCTACTGCAATAACTTATCTTCCTCTTCCTCTACCTTCAGAAGCACCTTCAATAATTCCTGGAAGATCAAGCAATTAGATTTTAGCATCTTTATAATCAATTACTCCTGGAATGCATGTTAATGTTGTGAATTCATATGCAGCCACAAGTGATTAGGTTTTTGTTAAAGTTGAAAGAATTGTAGACTTAATAATATAGATTATGTTAATACCTTTCCAACAGATGGGAATCCAATCATACAAACTCTTGCATTACCAAACTTTTAAACTTCAAATCCTTCACCTTTAGGACCAGATTTAGGTGGCTCTAATAATTGAGTTCTATATTTGGCTAATTTAGCCTTCAATTAACCCATATGATATTCAGTTGCCTTATTCTTTTGAGTTCTGGCCATTTCTTCTTCAATTTCCTTGATTTTCTCAATGAGCCCCATAATTATTTTTATTAGTAAAAAAATCAAATTTATTTTTTTTATTGAGTAATATGAACCAATATTACATTTTAGTCAAAATAGGTGAAGGTACTTTCTCTGAAGTTTTAAAAGCCAAATCAATGATAACTGGATAATTGGTTGCTATCAAATGTATGAAAAATAGATTTGAAAGTGTGGTAAATTGTTATTTAAATATTATTATTAGGATTAAGTAAAGAACCTAAAAGAAATCTAAGCTTTACATTAATTATAGTAACATCCTAATATAGTAAAATTACATGAAGTTCTCTATGATGAACCAAGTGGTAGATTAGCATTAGTATGTGAATTAATGGAAATGAATCTTTATGACTGCATAAAGAATAGAACTTCTTATTTGAGCATGGCCAAAGTTAAAAAATATATGCACCAGGTATTAAAAGCTTTAGATTACATGCATAAACGCAACTTCTTTCATAGAGATATTAAACCAGAAAACATTTTGATAAAAAATGATAATGTTAAAGTAGCTGATTTAGGAAGTTGTAAAGGTATACATTCTACACATCCATATACTGAATATATAAGTACAAGATGGTATAGAGCACCTGAATGTTTAATGACAGATGGTTATTATGATTAAAAAATGGATCTATGGGGAGTTGGATGTGTAATGTTTGAAATTATTGCATTGTTACCTTTATTTCAAGGGGAAAATGAATTAGATTAAATTAATAAAATCTTTAAAATCTTAGGTACTCCTGAACCTGAACTATTAAATAGATTCAAATCTTAAGCTTCTCATATGGAATTTAATTTTAAACCATAAAAAGGTATAGGATTGGAAAGATTAGTACCTCCACATGCTGGATCAGATTGTATAGATTTACTTTATAAATTATTATAACTTGATCCAGTTAAAAGAATTAATGCAGAAGAAGCACTTAGACATGAATTCTTTGAAGAATTTTGGGATGCTCCAATGTCTTAATCAAGTGATAGTACTTAATTTGGAAAGGCTATTACAATTACAAAACCAAAGAAGAGATTGAATAAGGGTATTTATCCAGGTACAATAAAATTGGAAGTTAAATTGGAGGGTAAATTGAATTAATCTGATGATGAGAATGAAAAAGTAAGAGATGGAAGTTTGCATTCTAAATTACCCCCTATTACTAAACCATATTTGAAACCCAAAGTAAAAAATCCTTATGTTAAGAAAAAACTTTATGATGATTATATTATAGTTGGGAAAAAAGCTTTAAATTGATTTACTTAAGTAAAATAAAAATTACACAATTATAGATATAATATCATAATAAATTAAGTTTTTGCAATATTGCCATTAAATTGGTTTAAGAGACATCAAATATCTCTAAAAAACTATTAACAAGAGATTCTTAACAGAATATTCTAATGTCACTATAGTTTCTGGTTATCAACTTATTTTTGTGATATAATAACATCGCTAATATCAATTTGTGTATGATTTCTTCGCCTTCAATTAGGAAAAGATCAAGTATCATGCCTGAAAATCTCCAAGGGATATTGTACATCAATAATGTCATATAGAATCGAGAAAAGAAAGGAAAAAAATCAGTCTAAATACAAATTCATCTTTACAATCCCTTCATCATAGAAATGTTTATGTAATTCAGGTATCTTTTTTTTCATCATTTATTCAAGCACATCTATCTTAAGTCTTAAACCTTCTAATCCTTCCAAAAATACTACTCTCCAATTTTGATCCTTCATTATATATAAAAAAATAAAGAACACTGTTTCATCTCTTTCCTCATCCATTACTTCAAAATCATTTAATTATTAATCATTAACACTTAAATCATAACAAACTAATAAATTTGCTACTATGATATTCAATCCTTAAACATAACCTAATTCTTTATCATAATTCGCATATGCAATTAAAATATTTCTTAATGATTATTAATTTTCATACTATTCTATATTAAAACTAATACTTATTTAAACATATCATGAATAATAGTTCTAACAACATCCTTTTCAATCTAAATCTTATGTAGAGTGTCTGACTTTTTCAATTTTTAATAACTTTGATTTTTTAGTTCCTTCTTGTTCTATTCTTGATTACTGACAAAAATCCACCATTGTCTTCGTCTACAACTAATTCTATCGTTTACATGTCATATTCCATTGTCTATAACACAATTGATTAATGTATTTATTAAACCTTATATCCTGAGAATGATTTATTTTTTAGGATAATTTACCAATCATTCTTCTCTAGAAGTTTATTATCCTTAGACACTTATTCAATGAATGTAATATCATTTATCTCAATAGTATTATAAATGTACTAATCATCCTTTGAGATCTTGTAGTAATCCTAACATTCAATTACTCATATACTTTTATTATGTTGATTTTCATTTTACTATTAGCACTTACTGATCTCTATTTACACTTTAAATTTGGACTTGGTTATTGAATTATTTCTTGTTATCCTTCCTATATCTGAGGAGGTTTCCTGATATGATAATCAATTCTTGTTTTTATGAATGAGTACGATTTTGTTAACCACATTAAATATATATAATATATTATTTCTTCTTTTAATTTGTAACAAATATCAAAATCTTTCACTCTTAATCCTCTTATCAAACTCAATATCTCTAAACATTATGATGACTCTTATTTCATATGGATTGAACATAAAATTCAATCTACAAATAATCCTACCAAGTAAACTTCGACTTCATATCAAAGTATTAACAATTAACACAAAAGAACTCAAAAAATATTTGATATCTTTAGCAATCATAAGAGAACTATCTAACCAATCTTTAATTTTCTAATTAATCATTTATTATTTTTCAGGATTTCTCTAAAACAAATTGTTCCTGGTCTAAATTTTTACTTTAACAGCTAGAGCACCTATTGTAGAAAATTTATAGCCATACCAGCAGTATTTTTTTTAATTTATATAATTCTTGCCATTATTATTATGAAATATATTACTAAATATATTATGCACATTGATTATTTTTTAGTTTTTTTTTTAATTTAGAGAAAGAAAGTCTAAAAACTGTTGCAGTATTAATAAGTTCAATAATTTTTATGGTATTTAATATTATTTATTTCTAATATTTTGATGAAAAAAACTTATTAGTTTATTATTTGGAAATTTAAATTAAAAAAAATTGATTTTATTGCCAAATATATAAGGTTGTAAAATTGATTATATTCTAAACTTAGTTTTATTATATGGGAAATTAAAAAAGTCTTTTTAAACCTAAGTAATCACATAAATCAATAATTAATTTAATGAGAAATATTCATAGTATGAATTAATTTAATGAGTCATTGGTTTGACAAGTTAAATTCAACTTTAATTGAAGATAGTAATTAAAAAAATAAATTTATATCAATAAATTAAATTTTATTTTTCTAATTGAATAAAATCATATAAAAATAAGATGATTAACTAAAGATTATGATATTTGTTATAACAAAATTAATAAAATCTACTTAAATCTAAGCATTTTTGATATGAATCATTATTTCAGATTAAAATCTCACACCAAAAAATTAAGTGACCATTTTGATCTCTGTCCCTTCTTTGGTTCAAAAAGGCTTCTTTTTGTATCCTTATAGTATCAGCTATAGTATTTTTATAACCAATTTTCTGATAAGTTTGATGAAAAAACCAAATCACTAAGTCTTGATTGAATTTAATTAATAGATCAAATCTTTTTAATATAAAATTTGAGGGCCAATTAAAATATTAAAATATATATTCTAACCTAATCTGCCTATTATAAGTATGAATATTTATAGTTTTTCATATTTTTCTCTTGATTCATTGAAATATTTTAAGTGAGTATAATTAAATCAAAAGATTTAATTATTAATTTAAAAATATTATAAAGAGGATATCAATAATATTTTATTTAAATAGTTTGAGCCATTGACAAAATTATTGAATTGCTAAATAAAAAATTTTAATAACATTATTTCAAGAAAATAAGAGACTAAATTATTTTTTTCAATATGGTCTTCAAAATTTTTAATTAAAATTGATATTATATATGAATATCCTATAAAATTGAATTTATTATTTATTCCAACAATATTATTTTTCAATAAAGGCTAATTCATTTTTCAACTATATAATAGTTGTATTAATATAATAGTTTTACATAACTTCAAAGCAAAATCTAATGAAATCTTTAGTTCTATTTATAAAAATGAATCATAAGTTTTCCAGCCAATCAGAAAAATATATAAATTAGAATATATTAATTATAATATATATATATTAACTATTCTATTAAAAATAAAATAATTTATAAAAAATAATATATTGATAAAAATTAAGTATCACTTAAAGAAAGTAGAAGTTGAGATATTATTGATTGATTATATCATTTTATGTTAATAAGCAATTATTAGAATTAATAAAATCTTATAATAGAAATTTTATTATCTATTTACATATATTTAATTATAATATACTTAGAATATGTAAGATAAACCATAAGAATTAGTGACATGTAAATTCTGTAAGGAAAGTTTTCCTCTTATTTTTATGTACGGACATAGAACTGAATGCAATTTTGAAAATCATCCAAACTACTAATCTATACTATAAAATAACGAAACACAATTCTAATAAATAAAAGAGGAAATTTAAAATGATTCATAGAATATACAAGAAATAAATAACCATTAATTTAGTTAAGAATAAATTGTTTAAAATACATATTAACAAGAATCTCATTTATAAGATTTTTCTAAATAATAATAAATAGAAATAGGTTCATAAAAATTAAAATAAGAAAAGAATTTATTAGATTTATAAACAGAGTCTATTTTACTTAAAACTACAAAGAAATGTGAATATTGCAATGAAATTTTTCCTAAAGAATAGATTGATGATCATTATTCTAATTGTCAAATCTATTTAATGATTGAGTAGCTTTAAATAGAAGAAACTCAAAATTAATTTAATTCAAATGAAAATTTCATTGATAAGAAAATAATGATTGGATAATAAAAGGAGACTGAAAATTTTTCCACAATAATTCATGAAGAATTACAAAATGATGGGAAAATACTTCAAAAAATTATTACTAGAGATCCCCTTACTAATTAAACTTATGAAAATATATTTTTACTTGATTCTAATGATGGTAAATAGTTATAGCATTTATCCAAATAAACAATAGTAACAAATGATAATTAAACCTTTTAATAAAGTTTTTAGAGTTTTATTAATAAGGATTTCATTGATCTTGAAGAATTAGAAAGAAATAATTAATAAAAGTAATGTATTTATTAAAAATAAGACGACTAATTTAAAAAAATAGAATTTAAAATATGGGGAAAATTAAATTTTGTGATTCTAATTAGCTTGAATAGGAATTTAGATAATGTGGGATTTGTTTTATGAGTTATTTAAAAGGAGAAGAATTAGTTTTGCTTCCTTGTATACATAGATTTCATAATAAATGCATAAGTTAGTGGTTGATGGACTAATCAACTTGTCCAATTTGTAAAATAAATGTAGAATAATCAAAACCTTGAAAATTTGAATTATTCTATAAAGCATCATTATAAATTTATTGTAATTTAATTTATCTTTCATTAATTGAGTTTAAATTTAGATGAAAATAATGATTTCTAACAATTGTAGCATTTGGTACTTTTTATAATTTATTTATGTAAACAATTTGTATGACATTTTATTAGGCAACATTCCAAATTATATATAATTTATTCTTCTCTAAAATGATCTTTACAAAAGTAACAATATTTTTGATCAAAAGTCTTTCTAAATTTCAAACGTTTAAAGTAACCTTAATCCAATAATTTTCTGCCTTATGTTATAATATTTTTGTAAGTCTAATAAATTTTGAGATATTCTGAAATTATTTATTAACTTTTCATTTAAACAGATTCTCTATTACTTTTATTTTCATCTTTACATTATATGCCTTATTGGTAATATTCTTAAATTATATCCAAATATTTTAAATATGAAGAACAATTCATTTGATGTTAAGACATGTCCTACATATTAAAATATAGATTGCAATGATCACATTTGGTTTAATTATTTAATTGATTATATTGATTATTTATTTTTAAGTTCTAGGGTTTTTCCTAAATAGATTATTAATTTGAATTTTATTTAGGTTATTCCTAACAGATCTAATAATTTTTTTATTATATAAATTATTCCTAATAGGCCTATAAATTTGCGTATTATTTTGGATATTCTTAATAAAGCCAATTATTAGTTTATTATTATTATTATTATTATTACTATTATTACTATTATTATTATTATTATTATTAAGGATATTGATCAAAATATTATTATTAATTAGTATAATTCTTAGGTTGTTCATATTTGATTTATAAATTTACATCTTATTAAAATTTCTCCTATTAAAGTTATTGATTAGAATATTATAAAGGTTGGTCCGAAATATCTTTTTAATATTCATCTTTAGGTAATGGTTTAACATCTAAAATTGTTACTTTACCTTTAAATCTTTCAGGGATAGAGTAATTAAATTTTTGATTATTGGCTATTTGATTATGTTTATCATTTTAATTCTAGATATTTTATAGCATCTCTTACTTATTATGACTCTTAAAATGGAATAACTTATGGCTCATAAATTTTCTCTTGAATATTAATTTCTGTTTCTTTAGTCATTTTCTTAGAACTATCTTTAAGCTTGGATGTACAAGATCGTTGATGGTTGAAGATTTCATTTTAAAGAAAATCCTTCTAACAAAATTTGCATGCTTTATATTTTGTCTAGCCATTACTCATAATTTGATTTATTATAATTATCTAATAATAAATTAAGATGATTTAACACAACTTTAACCCATTTAGAAAAAGTAATCGGTAAACATATTCATTATTTGATGAAAAAAGTTCATATGAGATAAAAGTTGAAGATGAATAGGCAATATTGAAGCCTATACCAAAATATGTTTGGGAAGATGATTACTATGAATAATTGAAATTAGAGTTAAAATATTATAAAGTAGACATATAGGTATTATCTCATTCTGAATGGGAAAATCTTTTTCTAACAGGAATGTATGATTCTAACAAAAATTTATTATTATCAATATTTACTACAAGATCATTAACTGTGAGGTAAGTATTTGATTTTATAACAATGTAATGTTAAATGACATGTTAATTTGAGCATCTTAAAAAACCATTAAAAGAAAAAAAATATGAATCCATTATTAAAGATGTACATAGAACTTTTAAGAGTTCAGATTATTTTTAGAAGGATGAAGTACTTTAAAGACTTTAGGATATACTAGTGGCTTATAGTAATTTGGATCCAGAGGTTTCCTATGGTTAAGGTATGAACTTCATTGTAGCAGCTCTTATGTATTTAGATTTCAATAATGATGAAGCTATTTTTGAGATTTTAAGGACTGTAGTTATGGATAAAGAATGGAGACTACTTTATATTGACGGATCACCAGGACTATTCTTTTTGAGAGCAAAATTCAACTTTAAATTTTAAAAAAGAATGCCTGAATTATATTAACATTTTTTAAGTGTTGGAATAGAGGATATGAATTTGTGTGTAAGTGCATTTTACTTAACTTTATGTATGTAAAATGCTCCAATATAATTCTCTTTAGTATTATTGGCTATGTATTTTATTGAGGGTGATGACATTTTAACTAAAATGATATTATCTATGATGAAATATTTTGAGAATTATTTATTAAAATTAAACGACTTTTAACAAATAATTGAATTTATCAAAAGAGGTCTGATAAATAATTTCTATCGAGAAATTCAACAATGTAGGAAACAATAGAGATTAGTATAAGTACTACTAGATATTGGGTTAATTAAAAGGAAAGATAAATAACACAAACAAAAAACAAAAAAGGGATAAATGAAATAATTAATTGATAAGAAATTAGGAAATGATGTTTATAGTTATTTTTTTAGATGAGTTAAATACTTATTTTATATACCAATTTAGAATTTTACTATTGAGTACTTTTATTTAGGATATTCTCAAAATAGTCTTATATTTAGTAATCCATATTAGATCTTTAATTTCATTAGAAATATTATTTATTAATGATTAGTTATTTTATTTAATGCAGAGTAAGTGATTTAATAGCCTATTAATATAATAAAATAATCTTTAGTTTTATCCTAATACCCCTCTTTTCATTCATTGAAAAATTCTTTGCTTAAATTATTTTACAATATTTGAAGATAATTCTACATCGATTATAATATAAAATTTTAATTCTTATAATACATTATAATTAGTGATAAGAGTTCTTTTTGATAATTTCATGAAAAGAATTAATTATAATCCTTTTATAATTCTAATTAAAATTAATAAAAAATAATCATTAATGTATAAAATATTATAGTTTGATTTTATTTTAGATTTTATTGTTTTTTAACTTAACAACCCACATTTTTTACTAAATTTTAATTACAACATATTTCTATTATAATTTAAAAAATGTTAACTCCCCTATTCTAGTTATTATAGTAATGATTGAAATAATAATTTGATGACCCTAATCCTACTAGAAAATACAAATTACTCTTTATATTATACATATTTATTAATTATTATTTATATATTTANCTTTATATTGACGGATCACCAGGACTATTCTTTTTGAGAGCAAAATTCAACTTTAAATTTTAAAAAAGAATGCCTGAATTATATTAACATTTTTTAAGTGTTGGAATAGAGGATATGAATTTGTGTGTAAGTGCATTTTACTTAACTTTATGTATGTAAAATGCTCCAATATAATTCTCTTTAGTATTATTGGCTATGTATTTTATTGAGGGTGATGACATTTTAACTAAAATGATATTATCTATGATGAAATATTTTGAGAATTATTTATTAAAATTAAACGACTTTTAACAAATAATTGAATTTATCAAAAGAGGTCTGATAAATAATTTCTATCGAGAAATTCAACAATGTAGGAAACAATAGAGATTAGTATAAGTACTACTAGATATTGGGTTAATTAAAAGGAAAGATAAATAACACAAACAAAAAACAAAAAAGGGATAAATGAAATAATTAATTGATAAGAAATTAGGAAATGATGTTTATAGTTATTTTTTTAGATGAGTTAAATACTTATTTTATATACCAATTTAGAATTTTACTATTGAGTACTTTTATTTAGGATATTCTCAAAATAGTCTTATATTTAGTAATCCATATTAGATCTTTAATTTCATTAGAAATATTATTTATTAATGATTAGTTATTTTATTTAATGCAGAGTAAGTGATTTAATAGCCTATTAATATAATAAAATAATCTTTAGTTTTATCCTAATACCCCTCTTTTCATTCATTGAAAAATTCTTTGCTTAAATTATTTTACAATATTTGAAGATAATTCTACATCGATTATAATATAAAATTTTAATTCTTATAATACATTATAATTAGTGATAAGAGTTCTTTTTGATAATTTCATGAAAAGAATTAATTATAATCCTTTTATAATTCTAATTAAAATTAATAAAAAATAATCATTAATGTATAAAATATTATAGTTTGATTTTATTTTAGATTTTATTGTTTTTTAACTTAACAACCCACATTTTTTACTAAATTTTAATTACAACATATTTCTATTATAATTTAAAAAATGTTAACTCCCCTATTCTAGTTATTATAGTAATGATTGAAATAATAATTTGATGACCCTAATCCTACTAGAAAATACAAATTACTCTTTATATTATACATATTTATTAATTATTATTTATATATTTATAGATGATTCCATATAAGTTTTTTATCTATTTAATAATTATTTGAATCAATCATACAACAAAAAAAATATAATAATATAAGATTGGAATATAAGCTATCAAATTTAATGAAATCTTATTTGATTTCGATTATGAATATTTTATATATATATCATAATTTTCTTAGATCTACTTCACACTCAATGGGAACATGATCACTACCATGAACAGTTAAGTTTATATCAGATACTATGATGGCATCAGAAGCTTCCTTATTGATTATAAAATAATCTAATCTCCATCCTTTATTTTCTTATCTAAAATTAATTATTTATATTACCTGCAATTATTTCTTGCACTAAAAAAGCTATATTTAACTTCTTTTGGATGTAAATGTCTGAATGAATCAACCCATCCCTTTTACAAATAATTTGAAAATTGATCTCTTTCTTATTAAGTAAATCTAAAATAGAAATTATAACAATACCCAGCTGTTTTCTTGTTACCAGCAGGATTAGCAAGATCTATTTCATGATGTGATACATTAAGATCACCACATAATATGGTAGGTTTTTTCTTTCTAAGTTCTTCAAGATAGTTTTAGAAATCAACATCCCATTCCTTGGTTCTATAGTCAAGTCTTTCTAATTTTTATCCAGAATTTGGAACATAACATGAAACTAAATAAAACTTTTCGAATTCAGCTGTCAATGTTCTTCCTTCTTGATCATGTTTATCAACACCAATATCACACTTCACTGAAATTGGTTTAACTCTATTAAATAATAGAATATTAAATACTTTGAAGCTATAGCAACTCCACTATATCCACCTTTAGACTTACAGAAATTAAGATATAGAAAATAATGTTTTCCAAATTTAGCGCCTAAATTTTCTTTGTCAAATACAATCTAATCAGCTTTCAATTCATTCAAACAAATAACATCAAACTTAATTTTATATACTAAATTACTTTATTATCACTTAAATATTTAACAGCCTCTTCATGTTTTGTTACTGCTCTAATCCCATTAATATTCCAACTAGAAATTTTTATTGTTGGAGTACTAAATTTTCCATCTCCCAATTCATATTTTTATTCTGCTTGGTTGATTTATTTAACTTTTTTCTCTACTCCTTTTATATTCTATTATTTCTCAATTTTCTAAACTCCTTTTTTTTCTTCATTATCTTCTGTTTATTTTGTACCCTTTTATTGTTTTCCTTTTGATTTTACAACAAAGTCCTCTTAAGCTTCATCATTCTTCTCAGGACTATTTTTCTTATTACCTGATCTGCCTCTCCTTTAATCCATTTATTAATATAAAATAAATTGTAAATAGATTATTTCTAAAATCCACTTATTATTAAATTATTTAAATACTTTTTATTATAATCCTTAAAATTGCAATAAAGATAATTAAATGTAAATAAAAGCATAAAATTAATTTTCTTAGTTTGTTTATTGTTGGTACTTACTTACTTAAGATTGTAGAAAATTGAATTTTACATTTATAAAATTAATTTTATTTCCAAATTAAATAATTATTTTATAAATCTAATTAATTAAATGATTATTTAATATATTCTATAATATAAAAATGATTTTTATCATCAAATTATAGAGAAGTATTCTAAACCTGAAAATTTTAATATCAATTAGGTGTATTATGTTCAACAAGATTGTAAAAACAATCAATTAGCTCATTAAACATTATATTATTAATACAACAAAAATATAATAAGATGAAACTTATTATTATTTTAGTATTTATTCTGTATTAATCAATAGCAAAAGTAAATTATCTTAAAATACTTTAATATATTAAATTATTTCTTTTATAAAAAAAGTAAAAGAATTATTAAAAGAATTTTGATTAAAATTAATATATGATGATACACATATCTAAAATCACTTGAAAAATTGGAATAAATTAGTTTTTTAATATTAAGTCTTTGCAATTATTCAATGAGTAAGATATCATTTAAAATTAAGTTATGTTATTTTAATATCAACTTTCACAACATTGTTATAATACAAAAAAATAAAGTAAAATCTTTACTCATAATTTTAGATTTATTTTACCTTTTATAATGACTTGATTAAACGAAGAATGTGGGAAATTAGAAAAAAAAATAATTCTCAATATGAAATATGATAAAAAATTAATCAGTAATATAAAACTAATTAGAAATTTAAAAGAAATAAACACTATTTCCCAAAAGTTTCTTTATTTAATTCATCATAAATCTAATACATGTATTTAACATATATATTTATTATATAAAGTTCACTATTTTTCCTTTTCTATTAGTTCTTCTTATTCTATCTGTTACTTAATTATTATTTAATAAACATAGAAGTTCTATAGTAATTTAGAGATGATATTCATTTATCAGTTTTTTTAGTATTGATATTATTCTTAAATTGTGAAATCATTATAGAATTAATTTTGCAATTCTGAAAATGTATATGCTCTTTTGCATAAATAATTTAAATAACATAAAAAAAAATGAGCAATGGATCTGTGAAAGACATATTGAAAGACAAGAAAAAAGTTAGATTTGTGGCTGAAAGCGCATTTAAGTAAGTGGATAAAGATGGTAATTGAAGCATTTATTTAAAATATAGGAAGCGGATACCTTGAAAGACCAGAACTGGAAGAAGTTATGAATAATGTAGCAGCTGATTTAGGAGTTGAAGTATTATAAATTAGGATATTCAAAGCCACCAACAAGTGAAGAAATTGATGAAGTTTTAAAAGAATTAGATGAAAATGGAGATGGAAAATTATCAATTGATGAATTTTAAGTACTTATTGAACAAGTTCTTGAAATGATGGCTAAAGTTGAAGGGTGATATATATAATATGCACATTTCTAATTATTTTATAACATGTTGTAGTTCTAATAATTATATCAAAAAAATATATATAAAGAATTTTTTAGCATTTTTTAAATTGATATTTAATAAATAATCGAATTAATATTAAAAGTATGTTATGTTTAATAAATAAAATTTATTGTATTTTACAATGTTTATTAATATCTTGTTTAGCATTTAAAACCAAAATTCTCTTTTTCTAAATTCATAAATAAAATAATCAAACAAAAATGTCATACTACCCCGGATACAATCCATATGGTGCTCCTTTGGGATAATCTATTGCTTATCCTAACACATATGCATAACCAATATCTTATGCTCCAGTTCAATATACTGCTCCAATAGCATAATCTGTTGTACATCCTGTAGCAGTCTAACCAGTTGTGCAATAATCCTACATAGCTTAACCTGTTGCTGTCTAATAGGTAGTGGCTTAACCTGTTCAATAAACTATTCGAGGAGAATCGAGAGTGGAATATAAAGAATATCAAAGACCAGTCGTTGAAATGGAAACCGAGACAGTTGAAGTTTAAGTTCCAAAAACTAAATATGTTACAGACTATTATCCAGTTGAATATTAAACAGAATATATTCCAAGAACAGTTTATGAGTAACAAACTGAATATATTCCCATTACAAAAACAGTCCCTAGAGTAGAATATGAAACAGTAGAAAGAGAAGTTTAAAGAGTAAATCATTTGTTTAATATTTTAGTAACAATAAGTAGTGGTTTAGCAACCAGTTGTTTAATAATATGTACCTTAGGTAACCTAATATGTTCAATAACCTGTCGTTTAAACTGTTGTTCAAAACCCAGTTATTTAATCTGTTATACAGCAACCAACAGCATATTCAGCAGTTAGACCAGCATAAACTTATGTTCCTACTGCTTACACAGCTCCTATTGCTTAATATCCAGCAAATTTAAGAAATAGTAGACCATATTGAGCTATTATGCCATTATATAAATTATAAATAATTTAACTTAAATTTAAATGTAAGCTGCTTTGGCTGAAGCAATTAAAGAGGAATAATTTATGTTGTGTTTCAAAGAAAGCAAAGAATAAGCTCACTTTCAATTATGTATGGATCTATTTGAAAGAAGTAAAGCAATTTCTTAAAGGGCATTCGTCAGGTATGTCAGATCAAGAAAATAGTGAAATGATTAAGAGTTTATATATAATTATCTATTCAAGTATTAATCTATTTTTCAATTGAAATTACATGTTGCAATTTTCTATAAATACTTAGGTCACTCATATATAAATCAATTTTCATTTTACACTTGATTTTTAATACAAATGTTTTTTTATATATATGTAATACTAAAAAACTTATAATTAATAATCAAAGTTAATAATAATATCATCATTTTTTTCCCATCATTTCAACTCTATTTGCTTATTCTCTTAATCTGTCTAATTCTCTTTACTCATCCTTTTTTTATTCCATTCTCAAATCAACTTACCTCAATTTTTCTCTAATTTATTCTCTTTTATATTCTTCTAATTATTTTTAATGTTTTATAGCCTCTTATTAATCAAGTTTTTTTTTTAATTTCATATATGCTTATTATTATAACATGATTTCTTATTCATTTTTTACTTTTTCAATCTAAAAATTTAATAATAATATTTTACTTTTTCATCTTATTCTTAAATCTTTCTTAAATATATATTTCTTTTTTCTTCCAATTATAACATATTCATTTTCTTGACTTTCTCTCTATGTTTAGCTCTTCTATCTGCTTCTTCCTACATAAATTATTCTTTAGATTTAGATTGACTTCTCTATTAAATTCTTAATTAAATATCCATCTCTTTTTCCATAAATTCTCTCCTTACTTCTTCTTGATCTTGTAATTTTTATTTAGCTGTATGTTTAATTTTTTCATTTTTAATTCTATTTTTCTCTTCAATGGATAATTATCTTTCTTTTTATTATTCTTAAAATTTGTATTACTTTTCAGCAATTTTTTCTTCCTTCTTTTAAAAATCTTCTCTTAATTTATTCAAATATTCTATTTAACTTCGCTTAGCTTCTCTTTACCTTTCTTTAGCTGATTAAGCTCTTTTTTAAGCAAGTTCTTTTTTAGATTCTTATTATTAATTAAAAAACATTTATCTTTTAATTTCCTATTCTTCTTCTTCTTATTTTCTTATTAAATATTCTTATTCTCTCTATTTTTCTATCATTTTTTTTTCTCTTTCTAATTATTATTTTAACTCTCTTTATTATTATTCTCTAATAGCAGCTTATTCTTTTCTTTGTTACTCTTCAAATTCTAATTACATTTTTCGTTCTTGTTCTTTTTCAAAATAAACTTACTATTATTATTTATTTTTTCTTTATTCATCCAATTCTTTTAATCTTTTTTATTTTGCAATATTTTCTTATTTTTCTTAAAATTCTCTTTACCTTTCCTCTTACATCCTTTTTCTCTTTTCTTCATATAATTACATTTTCTCTTATCTTATTTATGTCTATTCTTCTCTCTTTTACATCATCTCCTATAAATTCCTTTGTCTTTATTCCTCCATATATTTTCTTTTCTAAACTTGATCCATAAATTTTGATGTGTTTGTACTACTTGCTGGTCTAAGCAGTTTCAAACTGCATGTACTTTATTCAATCTTACTTCTTTTTTCCTTTTCAATTAAAGCTTCTCTATCTCTTATTAATGCATAGACTTTTTATTATCTACGATATTCAAAATGTTTATGGAAATCATCTAAATTCTCATTTGTTAATGATCTCTCTTTTTTCATCATTGCTTATAATTAATCTTTGTTAACACATAATAATTCATTTTGAGCAATCCCTCTTTGTCTCATAACTTAAATTGAGCGAGGACTGTCAATTACGCAATATTTATCTGCTGGATTGAAATTAATTAAGGATATCATTATTATAGATAGTACTTTAACTAATAAATAAATTACTTTTCAAATTATTAAAAAATATGATTAATTAAGTAGCTCAATCACATCATAAAAAAGAAAGAAAGAAACCTATAAAAAATAAGAAATTCTTTAAAATACAATAAACAATAAAGTAATTTCTAATTTACAGAAAACATATTAAAATACTTTTTTTCTGGTTTATTTTTATTCTATCATTTCTATTCTATCTATTTTAACATTGATATTAAAAATTTAAGCCCTCCTATTATATTATTATCCATTTTTTCTTTTGGATTTTCATCATCATCAGATAATTTCATTACATAATTGAAATCAATCCATTTAATTTGATACTTTTTACTTATGTTATCAACAATTATAAGAATGGATGTACTTCGAAAAATTCTAAATTATTTATCATATTTCACCTCTTGATAGTTTGAAGAACTTCAATTAATTCTTATATAAATTTAATGCATCCTTATAGTGCTTCCCTATTAGGCTACTCAGCTTAATTTGATCTAAAAATCTATTCAATGTAATCTTTCATTAATTTTTCATTTCTTATCAAACGATATGCTTCTGATCCATGTTTATTGATAGTAAGTTCTCCATTCTGATCTCTTATTTTAATACCACCCACCCTCAAACCCATTTAATTTTAATCACATTGAGCAGCCTTTTTCATCTCTTTTATTCTTTTTTCTGCTGTACAATATGGATGATAAGTTTTGTAACCCATTTTTAAATCTAAAATTGATCCATTTTCTAGTCCGTAAGTTAAATTTTCCTATAAATTATGTGAAAACTTATACCATAGTAATAGAACAAGTTTTTTCATCAAAAGATATTAATTTAGGCAAAAATTTGATAAGCCTTTAATTTTCTTCATAGTAAGGATTAGACAAGTCAGTTAAAGAAGAATAGAATTTGAATTCTGCCTTTTTAGTAGTTTTGATAATTAAATTATCTTTAATCTCAAAAGCTTACAAATGTCCTCCAGATATTAAATCAGCTACTTATCCGAAATACTTTCTTTAATATTCTATTAATTCCTTTGAAGAAAGACAAGTCCAAAAGTCCTTATGTTTATCCACTGTTGTTGTGACTGCACTAAGTCCACATTTACCAGGCTAAATATTAGCTGGAAATTATTGAGGTACACCCATTAATTATTAAAATGTTGCTAAAGCACAATCTGCTGTGACATCAAGATTGTATCCTCCTTCAAGAACAGCTAAGACTTTAGGGCAAATTTATGATAATTATTCAGTGATATATTAATAGCCTTCTCGAGTATTATTAATACAACCAAGTGGATCTCCCATGGCTGAATCATAACCAGCACTTATAATGATGAAATCTGGTCCAAATTGTTTGATTATAGGACCTAATAATCTATCAAATGCATAAACGTAGTCATCATAACCTGGAGCATCATCTTTTTTCCAATTTACATTCCAACCAACATTAATATTTTTAAATTCTGCATTTTTTCCTCCTATTTTATTAGGATCCCCACTGCCAGGATAAAAAGTTTTATTATCATATCTATGAATCGAAATCACTAAAGTATTAGGATCTTCATAAAAAATAGCTTCTGTTCCATCACAATGATGAACATCCCAATCAAAGATCACTATCTTAATGACATTATATTTTTATCTTGCATATTTTGCAGCAATAGCAACATTATTAAAAATACAAAAACCATTTGGTTAAGATTTATGTCCGCTATGATGGCCTGGAGGTCTAACACTGCAAAAGGCATTTTTCCATTCTTATGTTAATATCTTATCAACTCCTTCCAATACTGCTTATACACATTTTCTAGCAGTTATAGCTGATGTTTTGCATAAATAAGTATCACCTAAATGAACAAAATTCTTTGTATTTTTTTTATCTCCTACATCTTTAAATAATCCTTCAACAAAATCTATATATTTTTAATCATAAACTAATTTCAAATGGTTGATATCGCTTAGGTGATTTATTAAAATGAATACCACTATTTAAATTATGATAATTGTTCCACTTATTTTTTTATATTTTTTGATAATATATAATTTTAAATGGTTTAATCTATGGATTGAGTTCTCTATGGATTTTCGTAATGTTCATCATTTGAGAAGTGTTTATCAAATTCTTAACAATGAATAAATCCTGTTATAGATGTATCTATCTTTAGTTTAGCAAATTCTTCCTAAATTTATTACATTTATAAATATTAAAATAAAATATAAAATTTTCTATTTAATTTATTTGTATATAATGATTGAATTTAATTCTCTTAAAGTAATAATTATTGATTTAAATAGAATATGCTTTGATCATAATTAAAATTAATTGATTTTTATTAAATTAAACATAAGTAGAATAAAATCTATCTTTATTCGTAGATAATTCAATTATTAAAATAAAAATAATGTAAAATAATTGAGAAATAAATTAATATATTTAAATTCTAACATTTAACATAATTTGATCATTCCCAATCTTCCAATAATTCTGATTAAGTTTTTCTTCTTCTAGTCTTTTCAATAATAGGAGCCTTTGTAAATATAGGATTGGCTGGATCTTTATCATTTGGATGATTAAAAATATCTCTTATAGTCATCATCACTTATGTTAATCCTTCATTACCTTTCCAATTATTTGTCACCATAGGCATACAAAGTAATCCATCTAATATATTTATATTTAGAACCTCCATAGATATTTTCATGAATTATTTTAGAATTATCTCTAAAAAACCAAAAATAGAATTTTGGAGCAGCTGTAGGATAATCATTTGGTAGTATTAAATAACCTTAGTTATTAAAGATATGCAATACCTTGAATCTTTTTATCTTAATACTCTGTATTTTCATCTCCTCTGAAATTAACTTCCCATACTTAATTTTTTAAATCATTATTTATAATTGCTTTTTCAATTTTAACAAATTCATCATTCCCTTCATCTGTAAGAATTTGTGAAGCTTAATCGAATAATTGAGAGAAATATTTAGCTTTTTCAACAGATTCTTTTGGCAATCTGCTAATAATTTCTTATATAATTCTATCTGGCATCAAACCTTTATCCACATCTTTTAATTAAAATGCTATCATCTATTAGAATAAAATAATGTGAATACTTTAATAATTAAATATATTGAGTTTAATATTATACAAATTTCATGATACTACTCTAATAAATTCTTTACTAGGCATCTATTCTAATCTATCTAACAATTTAGTTTCAATCTTTTTCTTTTCTTTCTCAGCTCTTTTAACTCTAAGAGCATCTGATAACATTTCTTACCATTTAACTTATTATTTTTGATCTCTTTCTAATTCCTTGAGTTTCTCTCTCTTTCCAATTTTATTTCTAAGATAATTGTACCAATTTTATACCTTCCTCTCATTTTTTTCTTTTGTTTCTTTATTTTTTTGCTTGCCTATTCTTCAATTTATTTTTTTTATTCCTTTTCAATTATACTTTTAGAAGTTCTATCTATTGTTCCAATCCTATATGATTAAAGAGATATAGACTCTGGTGGTAACTATAAAATTAATTAAATTAATAGGTTACTTTTTCAATCAATTATCTGACATTAGTTTCTAATCTTTATTTTTTATTTTATAATTCTGGTTATTCATAAGTATCAAAAAATGGTTCACCACTTTCTGGTACTACTGTTTGTTCATAACTATCAAAAGTGCTCATTGCTAAATAATCTTCATGTTTAATGAAATCAATATCACAAAGCATTGAAGAAGCCTTATATCTTAAATAAGGGGTTTTTAAATCTCCAATTAAACAGTTTTTCCACATAATAATATCTGTTCCTCTCCCTGCAGCTAAAACTCCTTTATCACTTAAAGCTAAGTTAGTTGCATTGACTCCAATTTAAGATTATAATTTTTAAGTTCTAAGATCCCAAACCTTTATTGTTCCTTCTGATCCACTTGTAATTAAGTGATTACCATCACGTGAGAAAGTCATTGACATCACTCCTCCTTTATGACATAACATAGATGTAAGTGAAGTTCCAGTATTAGGAGCATACATTCTAACAACTCCCATTTGATCTCCTATTCCTAATATTGCATTGTTATTATTTTATTTTAAACATAAAGGTGATGGTGTAGTTCTATATGCTATAATCATTCAATATTTTACTTGATATAATTTTTCCTTATGTTATATCCTAATAAGTCAATTATCCATTTTAATTTAGTGCAGCCAATAAATAATGATATGGTAAATACTCTAATTTAGTTGCTTGTTTGCATTCTCTAATTTTATGAACTTCAACTCCTTTTGGATCGTAAATATAAATGCAACTTTTTTGAGCTACAGCAAAATTTCTTTAAGCAATAGAAACTATATCATAGCATTTCTCTTTAACATCGAATTCACATTCTAATTATTTGTGTCTCCAATTAAAAGCAGCTATGTGACCTGATTCTCCTGCTAAATATGTTGTTTATGGTGTCACTGAAAGTTTATATGGTCCTGATTTTAATTTTAAATTGATAATCTTGTTTTAATGAATATAAGTTCTACATTTTGAACATTCTCTTCTGGTAAATAATCCTTAAAATTAGAAATCTTTAATAATGGTCTCTCATCATCTATTTCTACACTTTACTAAAACTATGGCTCAAGCAATTAAGCTATTTTTTAAGTCTTTAATTAAGTCGATTTTGTTTTGAATTCTTATTACTTAAGTTTAGCAGAAAGTATTTTATCCTTTGCCATTTCACAAATTAAAATATATATAATTAAGTAATTTAATTTAGTAATTACATATTATATATATTTATTCACATAAATTATAATATTTTAAATTATTTAAATTATGTATAAATTATCATCAATTTAACTATAATCATTAAATACTGTTTTATTTGATAAATATTTTAATGAAATTAATGTATTTCATAATTCTAATAATGGGGTTAAGATCTCTTGTAATTATGGTTATTCATCAACAAGTTTATTTAATGCACTTTTGATA